GAATCTTTGGTTTTCTTCATTTGTCTTTGCTCTGGACGAGGAGAGACCCACTGTTGCATCTAGATGGCTGCTTGCAAGCTTTTAAGATCCCCGTCGCTACTAGCCAAAGTAGAAGATGGAACAATGTTTTGTGTAGTGTGTAATGCCAATTGAGCTAGATGTCCCCTGTGACTGTGGTCCTGAGCCCAGAGGTTCAATTACTCACTCTCTCTGGGTAGCTGGCTGTGGCCAAGAATTGACTACAACCTTGTCCCTTGTCAGCACTACTATATACCTGGGAATTCAGATCATACAAATACACTTATAGGACCGTGGTCTGCCAACCCTATACATGGTCTTGGGTATACTCCCCCCTGCACAGACATACCTAATAGTTCAGCCTGTCCACCCATTTTTCTACCCATATATCCATGTTTGCCTTCACTGACAATGCAGTACTGTATGTGCAAAAGAGTTCATCTTTGTTGTCTACACCTTCCATGTACTTCTCTATGTCTTCCTCTTCCTCAGTGCCACCATGCTGATCACTCAGTTTTCAAAATTCCTGTGTGTCAGCTATGTGACCTCTGTCTAAAGGGGTTAATCTATCTCAGGGTAAGAAGTATATATATATATATATATATATATATATATATATATATATATATTCTGATTTGTTGAGAATAGAATAACATAGCACATGAATCCATTCCTAAACAAGACGGTCAAGCAACAGAAGAAATTAGTTCATACTAAGTTGATTCTAATCCATGAAACTAGTTAAAAAAAAAAAAAAAAAAAACTGTAATATCACTTATGACCATATCACTTTGCAAACTTCATATATATTTATTTGTTCTAGGTCAAATTCTGTATAATTATCCTCAATACTTGACTAGAAAAAGATTAACTTACAGATAAATTAGAGTTTAAATTTTCTAGAAGTTCCAGCAGTAGGAACTGAGCTTCTGTGACATTTAATTATTGAAATGACACCATGTTATTTTCATGTGTTCAAGATGAATTTGTCTTTTCATTTGAAATGCAACAGTATTTATATCATATATCAACTTAATATCTTAAATTGACTTCTACTACAAGATAAATCTTATCAAAAAATTATAAAGGAAAACAAAAGTTATGAAGCCAGTGATGAAGCAACGGAAGAGTAGTCAGCAATTGATATTAATAAGTTTTGGAAGATACATGAAAATTAATATACAGTGAATGAGGGAATATTAAGCATATATGGAAGCAGAAAAAATGTAATCATGCTTTTGGGTACCTTAAAATTAAAAAGCATGGAGACTATGTTTTAGAAACAGTTCACTTAATGACACATTGATTAAGAATTAGGAATCCTTTGGGAGTACAAACTTAAAAAAAAAAAAATTCTGGTGGTCTCTGCCCACCCACAGGCGACTGAGAAGAAATTCCCAGTAATCTATTTCTGAGGCACTAAATTACACTTCTACTCTGATACACATAGAGTATCCATGAGTTAGATTTGACTGTTATGGCAACTGTTTTTTTGTTTCTATATCTGTTTCTTTTGAAAAACAAAGACAGAAATACATAGTTGATGATCACATATACAAGAAAAAAAAAAAAACACAGAACTAAGTACTAGATATTTTACAGGGAGAGATTCAAATTTAAGAATATAAAGCAAATATAAATGAAACTTAGTTATTATTTCCTTATATTAAAGTATTTTAATCATTAAAACCCTTCTTGGGAACTCACAGTGTCTTCTGTACATTCTGCCTAGAGCACTGTTAATCTCCATGTTCCGCAGACTATAGATGAGGGGATTTAGAAATGGGGGCAGCATGTTGTAGAACACGGCTGTCAGAAGATTTTTAAGAGATGCTTTATTTGCAATAGGACCTAAGGCAGCAACTACCACAGAAATGACAAACAAAAATAGAATTGCCAGCTGTGGGGTACAGGTTGATAAGGCTTTGTTACGAGCTTCCACAGAGCGGATCTTAAGTACATTTGAAAATATTTTAATATATGACATAAGCATGAAGGCAAAACATATTAGCACTATGCCAGCACTTACAGCTAGGAGCACAGATTCAGAAAACTGAACATCTGAAGATGATATCCTGAAAATTTGAGGTACTTCACAGAAATATTGATGGATCTCATTGGATTTTGTGAAGTGAAGCCTGAACATGGTGACTGTATGGATGGTGGAATAGAGCAGCCCAGTGGCCCAAGAGCCCCCTGCTGCCTGTGCACACATTTGTGGGGTGACAATGAGTCCATAGTGCAGGGGATGACAGATGGCAACATAGCGGTCATATGACATCACCACAAGAAAAGCAAGCTCTATAGCCGTCAATAAAATATTCAGGAAAATCTGAGCAGCACATTCAGTGAGTGAGATTGATTTTTTACCTGTCAGGGAATTCACAATGGATTTGGGAACACTAACTGAAATAGAGCAAAGATCTATGAAAGATAAATTGCCTATGAAGAAATACATTGGGAAGTGAAGATGTGGGTCTGTCACAATGACTATAATTGTCATAAGATTTCCAGCCAGTGCTCCCAGATAGATCACTAAGAACAGCAGACCTTGTAAGACTTGAAACTCCCGGGAACTTGAGATATCCATGAGGAAGAATTCTGTGATGATAGTGAGGTTCTCCATTTTTTGCTAAAATCCTGCAGTCTCCCTAGAATCAAAAGATATAGTGGTAAAATAATGATAAAACCAAAATTCAGAGAATCAAAATGCCAGCAAAGAAAATGCACCCACTATGGCATCTAACCAAGGGGTCAGGATAGATGAAATCAATGTGTACACATTTTTATTTGAACTTTGCCTCAACACTACTACATGAATAGGGTTAGACAATTTAAGGCATAAAAGAATTTAACATGAAATAAAGAAGCAAGAACATCTAAAGGTAATGATTCACATTTATACTATTTTTGAATATGAATTTTAAACTCTCCCTAGACACAACTTGCAATTATTTTCTCATTGTGTTCAATATCAAGTAACCATCTCTTAATTTTTGGAAAGAGATGTTCAGTGTCAGGATGCTTAATCTGGCCACTCCTCAGCTCTTAGTTATTCTCTTCCTGAATCAGGGAAGCAGAATGGCTTCTGATCTCCTATTTCTGGGGTCAACTGACCTGGATCATGTGTCTATGACAAAGTTAATTAATGGCTATGAGTTTCTCCTAAGAATGATTTTAAAGTACATAGAATTACAAAGGTTATAGTCTTTCACTTCACCACTTTTGTTTGTTTCTTTATAATACATGTATATGGTCTTTGTTATTTGCAAAATTATCTACAAAAGGTTTGATTTGATTCAGAATCTCTTCAGTGTCATTTTTCTGTGAATAGTGTGTGCCCTGAAGGCTCTAGCTGCCATTCTTCTTTGCCTCCTCACCTTCACATAGCACATAAGAAAAAAAAAAAGTCTTATCTGAGCCTACTCTTTCACAAAGCAGCCTTCTTTCTGTCAGGCATACATTCCGGAATCACATTCTGTCCATAGCTCTCTCTATGTGCTTCTATAACTTTGGGTGAAAACTTTCATTCAAAAATAACCAATAAACTTCAACTTATTTGTTTGTTCATGTCCTAAAGAATTTAAAACCATAAAGAAATCCTGTTCTGAAGTTAATTAGCCTTCAATGTGAAAATTAATCATTGTTGAGTGGTCTAATTTCGGTATTATTTCGATTTCATCTGTGGACCACCTAAAATCCAGGAGTTATAACATTAAAAATGTTAACATTTGTACTTTTAATATTTTATTTAAATATAACCCAAAATAGTTTATAATTTTTCTCCCATCTTATGTGATTTATAATAACAACAATAATTGTTATGTTGTTTTCCTTACATTTACATGATTTTCTTTGCTTGTGCAAAATATTTTATGCTCTTTTTCTGTAATAAGCCTTTGGTATTGTGTGATTTATTTTATCTTCATTTTTGTAATGAAGAGAAAATCTTTTAAACAAGTAATTTATTACCTACCAAAACACAATACTCAATCACATGATTAAATTGCTACTCTTGATCCTTGGTATAGGTTACTGAGGCAAACCAGACTTACAGTTTTTTAAAATGTAGTTTATCAAAATCACATATTAGCTGTGTGTATATAACAACAACTAGACATGTTGTTTTCTATTCTCCATCATTTTGAATTGTATATTTCTCATCTGTTCAAATTCTTAAGTTACCCTATGCTACATTACATATTTTACTTCAGAATGTGTCGTCATGCTTAAATGAATACTCTTGGTGATAACCGAGAGTTCAGGGTTTTTTTCCATGCTACTCTTTAATCTCAGTGATATTTAGATATTATTTACTTGACAATTATAATATGTAGGCAATAACACATTAAGTGAAATTTCTAATTCTTCATCAATTGTTAAAAAGAAAAGAAATCAATAAAATATTCAGCATAGAGAATGGCTGGTCCATAATCTGAAGAAAATAAATACCAGAAATTGTTTGTAATAAAAATATATATTAGAACTCTCAACATTTATTTTAATATTTTAAAAACTCTTTTTGCTTAAATTCTTCAATGTCTAAGAAATACATGCATAACTCTCCTCTGCCTGGAGGTTTCTTATTTATTAATCGAACTACAGAAAGACATTATTAAGGACACTTGTACTAGTTTAATTCCTACATTATTTTTGTGTCATTCTATTTTTAATCTTTTGAACCCAGACTATCTGTTTTAGGTACAGATCTTAAGATATAATCTTAAAAAACTAATTAACAAAGTAAATACTAGAATCAAACATATTAAGCCTATTTTATGAGCATAAATGTATTTATATGAGGCTGACAACAAGAAGCATGCTAACATTCTTGACACATAGCTTTATTATTTCAGTGAATTCTTCATTAGTTGTTAGAAAGAAACACATAAATAACTATACAAGAATACCTGAGAAATGAGGTAATACTTTTTTCTCCCTTATCACAAACATTTATTTTCACAATTTACAAATAGTTGAAAAATCTGTGATCCTGCTTCTTTCCTAACCGAGTAAAATTGGAGTCGTTTCTTAGGAAGTTTCGCCTTGTTTTTTTAGACATAACCAAAAGTCTGCTCCTGGGTTCCTTACAAACACCATTTTCCTTTAGGAAGGACACATATAAGCCATGCCTCTGAGGAGCCCTGGGGAACTGGTGATTGGATACACCAGAAGCCAACTGTCTGTAACTCAAAATTCATAAGGATTCTTTGGATATACCCTTGAGATTAGTTAGATCTATAATAACTTTCTTGGCAATAATATTACCAAAAGTTTTGTAGTTAAATATAAAGAAAGAAAAGTATTAAAAATGTGCCCCATGTTGTTGGAAATGCATAAATTCTTAATTTCAAGTCTGATAATAAATATAATTTATTTGCACTGAAATTAACCCCCAAAATTGTTTTCCTAATAAAATTATATTATCTTAATATTTGAGTGGAAAATTATAGCATGAGAAAAAATCATGTGCAGTTTAAAATTAATTACAAAAGGTTTAAAACAAACAACTGACCAGCAAGTAAAGAAAATTAAAAGACATAAGCAACATTCTATTATAAATTTTAAAAGGAAAGCTAATAAAAGTAAGAGATTGTGACACAGAATATGACTTTTATTACCTAAAGTGCTTGGAATAGATGATCACACATTGTATATTATATTCTTCTTGAAGCAGAATTTTAGATCATTGTCTTAGACATGCCTCGTTTTCAGAATTTTCTTTTATAAAGTTTTTCTATGTACTGTTTAGTTCTGTTTCACCACATTGGATGTGTTGTATTTTCACTATAATACAATTCAAAATATGTCTAATTTCCATGTGATTTCTTTTTTGAGTCATGGGTTGTTCAAAAGTGTGTTATGTGTTTTCCCAATTTTTGGCTATTTTTGTTAAGAAATTTAATTTCACGTGCTAACAAAACATGTTGTTGTTGTGAGGTACTGTCGAGTCATTTCCGACTCACAGTGACCCCATACACAACAGAACGAAACACCACCTGATCTCATGCCAGCTCCATTATTCTTGCTATACTTGAGCCCATTGTTGTGGCCACCACGTGAATCAATCTCATTGAAGGCCTTCCACTCTTTCGTTGACCCTCCACCTTGCCAAGTATGACATCCTTCTCCAGGGAATGGTCCCTTCTGACAACATGACCAAAGTAGCTGAGACAAAGTCTGGCCATTCTCACTTCCAAGGAGGGAGCATTTCAACTGCACTTCTTCCAGGACAGATCTGTTAGTTCTTTAGCAGTCCATGGTATTTTCAGCATTCTTTGCCAGCAACATAATTCCAAAGTATCAACTCTTCTTTGGTCTTCCTTATTCATTGTCCAACTCTTACATGCATACCAGGTGATTTGAAATATCATGGCGGGTGTCAGGCACACCTTAGTACTCAAGGAGACATCCTTGCTCCTCAACACTTGAAAGAGTTCTTCACAGTCAACCTTCCCAGTACTACATGTTGTCTAATGGTCTGACTGCTGCTTCCATTGGCATCGATTGTAGAACCAAACAACATGAATTCTTTGACAGCCTCAAACTTTTCTCCATTTATCATGATGCTGGATATTGGTCCAGCTGTGAGGATTTTTGTTTTCTTTTTATTGAGATGTAATCCATACTACAGGCTGTATTCTCCACTCTTCATCAGTAAGTGCTTCAAGTCATCCTCACTTTCAGCAAGCAATGTTGTATCAGCATATCTCATGTTGTTAATGATTCTTCCCCA